TCATAAAGTTTTTTGAGAAAATAATTTGGGTTCTCTGGGCTCCAGATCCATAGGCAAATACACACGAAAAATCGAAGAATTTGAGCGATTCTTAAAAAAGGGCTTATAAATGAGGAAATGGGCGTTAAAAATGGTGTGAGTATACGTGAATGTTACACAACTCATTACGGAAGTCCTCATAAAGTTTTTTGAAAAAAATATTTAGGTGCTCCGGGCGTCATATCTATAGGATAATACACACGAAAAATTAGAAAATTTGGGCGATTCTTAAAAAAAGACTACTAAATGCGGAAATAAGTGTTTAAAAAATGGTGTGAGTATAATGAAAGTTCCCCAACTCATTACAAAGGTCCTCACAAAGTTTTTTGAGCAAAAAATTTTGGGTGCTTGGGGAGTTAGATCCATGAGCTAATACACACAGAAAATCGGATAATTTGAGTGATTTTAAAAAAAAAACTTGTTAATAAGGAAATAGACGTTAAAAAATGGTGTGAGTATACGTGAACGTTCCCAACTCATTGCGGATGTCCTCATAAAGTTTATTGAGAAAAAATTTTAATCGCTTCGGACTCCAGATTCATGGACTAATACACACAAAAAATCGAGTAATTTGGGTGATTCTTAAAAAATGGCTTGTTAATGCGGAAATAGACGTTAAAAAATGGTGTTAGTATAGTGAAGGTTCCCTAACTCATTATGGAGGCCCTCATAAAATATTCTTGAAAAAAACCTTTCAGGTACTCCGGGCTCAAGATCAATGGGATAATACACACGAAAAATCGAGAAAATTGGGTGATTACTAAAATAAAGCTTGTAAATACAGAAATGAGTGTTAAAAAAATGGTATGAGTATACGTGAAAGTTTTCCAACTCATTACGGAGTTCCTTATAAAGTTTTTTGAGAAAAAAATTTAGGATGCTCCAGGCGTCAAATTAATGTGTTAATACACACAAAAATTTGGAGAATTTGGCGATTCTTAAAAAAGGGCTTGTAAATTTGGAAATGGTTGTTATAATTTTTTTGTGAGTATACGTGAAGGTTCACCAAATCATTACGGAGGTACTCATAAAATTTTTTGAGAATTTTTTTTTGAGTTTTCTAGGCGCCAAATCCATGAGCTAATATACACGAAAAATCAAGAAATTTGGGAGAGTTTTAAAAGAAGGCTTGTAAATGTGAAAATGGGCTTGAAAGATGGTGTGAGTATACGTGGAGGTTCCCAACTCAATATGGAGGTTCTCATAATGATTTTTGAGAAAAATATTTAGGTGCTTCGGTTGCCAGATCTATGGGCAAATACACACGAAAAATCGAGAAATTTGGGAGATTCTAAAAAAAAGGCATATGAATGCAGAAATAGACGTTAAAAAATGGTGTGAGTATATATGAAGGTTCTCCAACTCATTACAAAGATCCTCAAAAAGTTTTTTAAGATAAAAAGTTTGGGTGCTCTAGGCGCATGATCCATTGGCTAATACAAACGAAAAATATGAGAATTTGAGTGATTTTTAATAAATAGCTTGTAAATGCGAAAATAGACGTTCAAAAAATAGTGTAACTATATGTGAAGGTTCTCCAACTCATTTATGGCGGTCCTCATAATGTTTTTTGAGAAAAACTTTTTTGGGTGCTACAGGCGCCAGATCAATGGGCTAATACACACGAAAAATTGGGAAATTTGGGCGATTCTTAAAAAAGAGCTTGTAAATGTGAAAATGAGCATTAAAAAATAGTGAGAGTATACGTGAAGGTTCCCAACTTATTAAAGAGGTCCTCATAAAGTTTTTTTAAGAAAATTTTTTTGGTGCCTCAGACGCTAGATCCATTGGTTAATACACAAAAAAAAATCGGGGAATTTGGGCGATTCTTAAAAAAGGGCTTGTAAATGAGGAAATGGACCTTAAAAATGGTGTGAGTATACGTGAAGGTTCCCCAACTCACTACGGAGGTCCTCATAAAGTTTTTTGAGAAAAACTTTTGGTACTCCGGGCTCCAGATCCATGGGCTAATACACATGAAAAATTGGGAAATTTGGCAATTTTTAAAAAAAGGCTTATAAATGTTGAAATGAGCGTTAAAAAAAAAATAGTGTGAGTATACGTGATGGTACTCCAACTCATTACGTAGATCCTCAAAAAGTTTTTTGAAATTTTTTTTTGAGTGCTCCGGTCGCAAGATCCATGGGCTAATACACATGAAAAATTGGGAAATTTGGGAGATTCTTAAAAAGGTCTTGTAAATAAGGAAACGGGCGTTAAAAAAATGGTGTGAGTATATGTGAAGGTTCCCAACTCATTCGGAAGTTCTCATAAAGTCTTTTAAGAAAAAAAATATTTGTGCTTCGGGCGCCAGTTCCATTGGCTAATACACACGAAAATTAGGAGAATTTTGGTGATTCTTATAAAAAGGGCTTGTAAATACGGAAATGGACCTTAAAAAAATGGTGTGAATATACGTGAAGGTTCCCAAACCCATTATGGAGGTTCTCATAAAGCTTTTTGAGAAAAAAATGTGGGTGCTCTGGGCGGTAGATCCATAGGTTAATACTTACGAAAAATCGGAAAATTTAGGCAATTATTAAAAAATGGCTTTAAAATACGGAAATGGACGTTAAAAAATGGTGTGAGTATACGGAAGGTTCTCCAACTCATTATTAAGGTCCTCATAAAGTTTTTTGAGAAAAACAATTTGGGTGTTGCAGACGCCAGATCCATGAGCTAATACTCACGAAAAATGAGAGAATTTAGAAAATTTTAAAAAAGGCTCGTAAATGCGGAAATGAGAGTTAAAATAAGAGTATACATGAAGGTTCCCCAACTCATTAAGAAGGTCCTCATAAAGTTTTTTTAGAAAAATATTTTAGGTGCTCCGGGCGCCAGATCCATGGGCTAATACACACGAAAAATCAGAGAATTTGGGCGATTCTTTAAAATGAACTTGTAAATACAGAAATTACCGTTAAAAAATGGTGTGAGTGTAAGTGAAGGTTCCCAGACTCATTACGGAGGTCCTCATAAATTTTTTGAGAAAAAAATTGGGTGCTCCAGGCGCCAGATCCATGGGCTAATACACACGAAAAATCAAGGAATTTGGATGATTCTTAAAAAAGGGTTTATAAATTCGGAAATGGGCGTTAAAAATTGTTTGAGTATAAGTGAAGGTTCCCCTACTCATTACGGAGGTAATCATAAAGTTTTTTGAGAAAAATAATTGGGTACTCGGGGCGCCAGATCTATGGGCTAATACACATGAAAAATCGAGAAAATTTGAGCAATTCTTAAAAAAATGTTTGTAAATACGGAAATGGACGTCAAGAAAATGGTGTGAGTATACTTGAAGGTTCTCCAACTCATTACAGAGGTCCTTATAAAGTTTTTTGAGAAAACTAATACAGACGAAAAATTGAGAAATTTGAGCGATTCTTAAAAAAGAGCTTGTAAATACGAAAATGGACGTTAAAAATGGTGTGAGTATACGTTAAGGTTCCCAACTCATTAAGGAGGTCCTCATAAAGTTTTTTGAGAAAAGTTTTTGGGTACCTCGGGCGCCAGATCCATGGGCTAATACATACGAAAAATTGGGAAATTTGGGTGATTCTTAAAAAGGGTCTGTAAATAAGGAAATGGGTGTTAAAAAAATGGTGTGAGTATATGTGAAGGTTCCCCAACTCACTACTGAAGTCCTCATAAAGTTTTTTGAGAAAAAAACTTTTCGTGCTTCGGGCGTCAGATCGATGAGATAATACACACGAAAAATTGGGGAATTCGGACGTTTCTTAAAAAAAGGCTTATAAGTGTTGAAATGATTGTTAAAAAATGGTGTGAGTATATGTGAAGGTACCCCAACTCATTACAGAGGTCCTCAAAAAGTTTTTTGATTTTTTTTTTGAGTGATACGGTCGCCAGATCCATGGGCTAATACACACGAAAAATTGGAGAATTTGGGCGATTCTTAAAAAAGGTCTTGTAAATTAGGAAACCACCGTTAAAAAAATGGCGTGAGTATACATGAAGGTTCCATTTCATTACGGAGGTTCCATAAAGTTTTTTTGAGAAAAAAAATGTGGGTGCTCTGGGCGCCAGATCCATGGGCTAATACACACGAAAAATTGGGAAATTTGGGTGATTCGTAAAAAAAGGCTTGTAAATGCGGAAATGAGTGTTAAAAAAAGGTGTTCCCCAACTCATTACGGAAGTCCTCGAAAAGTTTTTTGAGAAAAAAGTTTTGGGTGCTAGATCCATGGGTTAATACACACGAAAAATCGAGAAATTTGGGTGATTATTGTAAAATGGCTTGTAAATGCGGAAATGAGCGTTAAAAAAAATGGTATTAGAAAATGGCTTGTAATGCTTCCCCTACTCATTACGGAGGTCCTCATATAGTTTTTCAGAAGAAAATTTTGGATGCCCAAAGGCGTCAGGTACATAGGCTAATAAACATGAATAACCAAGAACGTCGGGTAATTCCTAAAAGTTGGCTTGTAAATGTGAAAATATGCATGAAAAAAATGGTGGGACTATACGTACGTAATGTTTCCTCAACTCATTACAGAGGTCCTCATATAATTTTTTTCAGAAAAAAATTATGAGTTCCCCAAAAGCGCCCAATCCATTGACTAATATACATGAAAAACCAAGAAAATCGGGTCATTCGTAAAAGTTGGCTTGTAAATGCGAAAATATGCGTGAAAAAATAGCGGGACAAGATATAAAGGAATGAACCTAGACATAAATAATATAAAGATTTCTTTTTGAGATATTAAAATTATTTTTTTCAACGATCATGTGATCACAACAAATCAATCAGTAATTACATAAAATGAGATTTTTCATTATTACATAGAGAAGTATATAACGATTATTACATAGAGATGTATATAACGATTATTACATAGAGATGTATATAACAATACAATACACTGAATGATCGAAATTTAAATAACGATCAAAACAAACATAATATTTTAGAGCTACATGCAATATAATATTTGGTAACACCATCCAAACACACTATTAGTTACTATCATCCTCAAATGCTTCAAGAGCCTTACCAGCCAAACTCAAAACCCTAAAATCATCAGAAATTGTAGCACCCATATGTTTGTAAAAACCAAGTGCACTTTCATTCCAATCCGAAGCATACCAATCAATAGAAGAAAATCCCATTCTTGCAGCCTCCAACGCCATGGTTGAAAACAACCATTTCCCAAACCCTTTACTCCTATAACACTCTCTTATAAAGAAGTTCTCCATGTGGAACACTGGGTTCTCGAAGAAACTCGAGAAGCATGGGTAGAACATGACATATCCAGCTATAAAAACATCATGTTGATCATATTTGACAACTCTGAACTGTTCTGACTCCTCATCTATGAGGGGCATGTTAAGATCAACTTCCTTCATAGATAAGAGCGACTCAATAAAATTAGTGGCCTAAAATCAAATTATGATAACAGATAGAGAAGTCAAGCATATTTATCATACGTACCTTGGAGCTAGTCTTGTCATTGAGACAAGATGGAAAAGGATTAGCAGAGACTTCGATTAGAAGTGTAGTAACAGGACTAAGATGAGGAAATTTAGGGTTAAATAGCCCCGAGGTAACGGAGGATTCAGTCGATTTCAGGAGATGAGTGATGTCGTGGTAAACGAATAATTGCTGCATGAGCTTGTATATGTGTGGGACATCGGATTCAATCGCAACCCTAATTCTGGAAAAAAGTTTTTGGTTGAAGGTTTTTCCATTAGAGGATGAAATTGGAGAAATTAAAGCCATCAAATATGATATAATATGATATGATACGATAAAATTAATATTCAAAGTTAGGTATATTGTTATCATATAGTAAGAGCTTTTATAGAAACTTGCAACTGCATGCATGTGGTTATGTTTTTTGCGATGAATTTAATGATAGAGATACCTACTGGACCCCACTGTTGAAATCAACAAAGTACTTATGTTGTTCATTTTTACGTGTTTAGTATCTCATAATGAAATTTTTATTTTTATTTGTCAGTTTTAACATATTGAGAAAAAAAAATTCTATTCCTCAAATGATTTTTTTCAAAGCAAAGACTATATATTCGATCACTTGATATGAATATGAATATTATAATAAAATACTCATATTAATTATTACTTATTTCTTAAGAGATGTATTAAATTTAAAATAAATAAATAAAAGTGAAAAGAGTTATGTAATTGTTCTAATTAAGAGACATATCAAATTCAAAATAAACAAGTATGTATAAGTGAAGAGATCAGTTACGTAATTGTTCTAATTAATTGACATATTTCAAAAGAGGCGGCAAATTAGTTAGACGTATTGAACTACTTATAATTATATATAAAAAAATGTTCTTTTCTCTTCTTTTTATTAAATTTTTGTGTCTTGTCTTTACTATAGTGAAAATGAATTTGAATGAAATTATTAAATTGGTAAAATATGGTGGAAATTCAGATATCGACTGATGGTAGTTTAATTTAAGTCTAATTTGACCCAAAGCAAAAAATTATTTTAATAGAAATTGAACTTTTGATAATTTCTTCGGTATTATCAAGTAATTTGAATTTAGAACAGATATTGTGAAAAAAAATTATACATAAGAGAAGCTAATTATTATTATTGTTGATTTTTGGATATGTGATCTTTGTAAAATCATATATATATATATATATATATATATATATATATATATAATAAAAGAGAACCTTAGGCCCGCCTACGTGGTGTCATCACAAACCATAATTCACTTTTAATTTATTTATTTCCAAAACTAGCCTTTCCCTTTCATGACAAGTTATGACATTTATGAAAAATTGTGACTTTTATGAAAAGTTGCGACTTTAATGAAGAGTTGCGACTTTTATGAAAAGTTGTGACTTTTATGAAAAGTTGCGACATTAATGAAGAATTGCAACTTTTATGAAAAGTTGCGACTTTTATGAAAAATTGTGACTTTTGTGAAAGGTTGTGACCTATCTGAAGGGTTGCAACTTTTCCAAATAGTTACTCCCCCGTCCCTATTTAGTTGTCCATATTTCCTCTTTTAGTTGTCCCTATTTAGTTGTCTATTTTGACAAATCAAGAAAGGACAGCAAATTTTTCCTATTATACCCTTATTTAAAGTGAAAAGTTGTCATAAATAAAGTAAATAAACTTATGAACTTCCTAGCATTGATTAGTTATCTTGAGTGAATTTATTTTGGAAATAAATTGTACTATAAGGATAAAATTGTAACTTCACTATGCTAATCATTGTTGCCTTAATTTGTGTGTCATTTCTAAAGTGGACAACTAAATAGGGACGTAGGGAGTATAATCTTTCCGATAAGGCACTATAAACATTTGTTCACATTTCCATTTGTTGTCTATAAATAGAGGGATTTCCTCTCACTTTAAAACAACGAAAATTCTAAACCTCCTCATCTTCTCCTTCTTCACAATTAAATATTTTTGTACTTTACTCATGTTGAGTGTCTCAGTGACACAATTGCTTATGTTACAAATCATGGTATGTATTTTTACAGTCATTAATTTATGCTTATGTTATTAAGGATAAATGATAAGATGTAATAATTTTCATTTTCCTTTACATTATTAATCTGATAGGTTTTAAGTATTATTTTATATATTCCGTGATATTAAATTTCCGCAAAGTGCAGATAATTTTATTAATTATATATATTTGAAAGTTTGTAATAGCATGTAATAACAAGTATTTATTTATATATATATATATATATATAATTTTTATTAATATGGCGTTTTATTAGGATACTTCGATACCTTGTTTCTGAATCATAGTTTACATATTTGGTAAGATTGTTGAAGAGTTGGTGAAGTTCTAATAGTTTACATAAATTATGAGATTTTCATGATTAATTACGAAAAAAAATACAACTTACGTAAATCAAATTGCATGTCCAATCGTCCACACAAATTTCAACTTCAGGTCATTTGCACTTTTTGACCTATTTTCTGTTTGTCCTTATTTTTTACTCCTCGTGACTAGAGCCGTCAATATGGGCTAGGCCTGTTGGGCCAGCCTGGCTTAACCCGGGATTTAATAGGGCTGGGCTAAGATTTTTGGAGCCCATTTAAGAAAAGGGCTTTTTAGCCCGGCCTGAATAAGCCTGCTGATTTGTTGGGCTTGAGAAATATAGGTAGGGCCGGCCCGTGGGCCAAATAAAAATAATTTAAAAAATATAATATAATATTAAAATTTAAAATTAAAGAGAATCCAAACTCAAAATCTATTTAATATTTAACTAATTGAAACGGCATATAAATTGCAGATGAAAATGAAGATGTTAAGACAACCTTGCCACAAGCTGATTCAGATATGCTTGATGAAGATGATCATGAAGTGTTGAATACGCCATAGATTTCATGATGTGTTAGATACGCCATAAGTTTCATGATTTTTTTAAGGAGTTTATTTTTAACTTTTTTATGGTTGGAATATTGTCACATATTTTGTTTTTTTAATGTGACAAAACAATTAGGTTAATATTTCTATTTATATATTTATACTTTTATTTGAAAAAACCTTAATAAATATTATAAAGATAATTTTATTTGTGGATATGATTAACAAGTAGTAACATTAACATGATGTAATATTGTTTTGTCGAATTTATCATAATATTTTAAAATTATAATTTATAATTTATTTTAATAATTATAAAAAAAATATAATTTTTAAAAAAGTGGGCTAGCCCGGGAAACCTGTAGCCCACGTACTTGTGGGTTGGGCTGACCGTTTTCTGGCCCACACCAAAAATGGGCTAGCCCGGCCTGACCCGTAAAATGTCAAAGCCTGTATGGGTTAGCCTGGATGGGGTGGGCTAGCCCATATTGACAGCTCTACTCGTGACAAACAACTTTTTTTGAGAAATAAGTTTATTATTTTATTTCATAATATCCCTCAAGTTATTTTGAGCATGACTTTAGTTTCTAAAGTGCGTGTACCCTATAAGGCATGAGTTCAATTATTAGGAAAAAACTTACTATTTTAAAAAAAATATACAATTTTCATATTAAATCAAATCTGATTTCAAATTATATCGAATCAAACCTAAATTTGTACATTTTAGACAGATGAAGCCATATGGATCATAAGACCAAAATTGGGGTAATTAGGTGATGAGTGCTATGGATATGAACAAACTGGATAGGGCTCTTGTCTTGTTCTTTCTTTAGGAGAAAGTGCATAAATAACCCCTTTAGAGGTCCTATTTAAAGATGAGTCAAAATTTATAATACCAATTAAGTTTAATCATCTCATATCAACTTCAGATATGTAGGTCTAAAGTTAATTTTATCGTATATAAGGTATGAAATGTAACGTAAAATGGGAATACTGAAAAACTAAAAGGGAAAATTAATGAAAAGTCATGATTTCCTCATCATTGATAGAATAGAGGAAAAAGTATTGTCCTTATATTAAGAAACACTTTCTTTAACTCTTTAGGGTTAAGAAGATGTTGTTGTCATTGCTCGGGTGCGCTATATATATATATATATACGCGATTATTATATCATCTTTTAAATATAATAAATTTAATGTTTTAAAAAATGCATAAAAATGAGTAGTTAATACTCCATATGTCCAATAATACTTGTCAAATATTGACTTTGCATACTTCTTAAGAAGACATAATAAATAAATATGCCCTTTAATTTGGCCTCATTTCACATTTATACCCTCCAACTTTGGGCGTGCACAAATAAACACTTAAACTTGTATAAAGTTGACTAAGTAGACACATGAGTCTTATGTGGCATAATATACATAGGACACCACGTAGGACGCGAATTACCATGTAGGATGCCACATAGGACGTGTGTTTATTTGTTCAATTTTATACAAGTTTAAGTGTCTACTTGTGCACACTCGGAGGACATAAATATAAAATGAGGCAAAGTTAAAGGGCATATTTATGTATTATGCTTCTTAAGAAACTATAAATAGAAGGGTAATTTTACTAGGCACAATACATAAACATGACCCTTAACTTGGCATCAACTGACAACTATGACATTTACTTTGAGTGTGCTTGTAAACACTTAAACTTGTATAAAATTGAACAAATAAATACACACGTCCTACATGGCACGATATATGATAATTTTGTGTCCTATGTGGCGTTCTACGTGTATTATGTCTATTAGTGATGTATGGCAAACATGAATACGCGTTAAGGTTGGAGATAATGGTGTAGTTAATAAAGATGAATTAAATCGCGAGTTCCATAAGGGAAGTTATCATTGAAGAATTTGTATATGTAAATCATACAAGTGGATGAGAAGCAACAACACAAAAGTTTATTGGCTAAAGTTTAAATAGATTTTCTATTCAATTAATATATAAATATAATTTATCTCGAATTTGAATATACATCTGAATTTTTTGATAATTGCAATTCCGAGTCAAAATTAGTCAACCGTTTCTTCTCCTTCGATACTTCCTCCTTAACTTGCACTGTGATATCGTTCATATCTTTTTTCTTCCCCCATAAAAAACTATAGAGGCCGATAACGGTCACAATCGAACCCATAACTCTGATCAAAAATAAAAAAATAAAAAGTTTAATCAATGTTATATATTCATGACATCTAATTTAAAGGATATGATATATCATAAGGAAATGAAAATTTGAGGTTTTAAACATCTCATAACGTTTTGTGCATGTGTCTATAAAAATATGATAAATAATAAAATATAACTTACGTTCCAATGTATAATTTTTCACCAAGCAATGTCCAACTGAGAAAGGCAGAAAATATTAATTGCAACGGAAGGAACATTGAGACATATAAAGGTCCTTTTCTTTTGATGCACCATGTAGCCAAATATAATGCTAGTGCTGAGCTCACAATTCCCTAAGATAAATAAGAAAAAAAGTGTAAGTAATAAATAATAATAATAAAAAGTGACATCACAAAATGTTACATGCTCACGAAAGTCTAAACAAGCAAAGAAAACAATATAACAAGGGAAGATAACTCATGATCAATTTGTTTATCATAAAATGATTTATTTTTTTTGTGAGATAGTGTGTATTATATGTTTACTATTATTACCGTATATTATCCAACAATATTGCTTGCTTGTTGTTAGTAATTAACATATTCATATTAAAGATGTTGGTGTCCCTTTACGTTTAAATTCTGCATCTACCTCTGTTCGTCCCTTAGTGTTGATTGGGACTATACTTAGTATGAAAAATATTTTACACCTAAAAACGTTAAGAGTGATATATTAAGGTTTATATTATAGATATTCATTTGTATAAAATCTCTTTTTTAAAAAAAATATATAAATATGAAACGTGAAAACATATATACTTACATTGTAAAGAACAGAAATAGCTCTGATGGGGTTCAAAGACCATGCAGTTTTGTCATCATGATTAACACAAATTGCAACAATTGCACACTCCAAGCTTGCCATGAAGAACATCAATGTTGTGCTAGTATATGGAGCTGCATACCTCTTATTAACACTTGGCTAACTCCAAAATAAATAAATAAATAAGACAAAAAAAGGGTAGGTGGTACTTCCTCCGTCTCAATTTATATGACAACTTTCATATTTCGCAAGTCCAACAAGTTTTTCATTGACCGTGTTTCCTTCATATGCCTTTTTATTTTTTTTAATAAAACTTAATAGATTCTAAATATGTCTGAATATACGACAAAAGGGAGTTGCTCGGATGGTAAGCACCCTCACTTCCAATCTTAAGGTTGTGAATTCAAGTTACCAAGAGAGCAGAGCTTACCAAAAAAATGTCTGAATATGCAATCAAAATTAAGAAATTTGACTCGCGAAATTCGAACGATGTCACATAAATTGAGACTGAGAAAATAATATTTAATTAAGAGGAAGATTAGTAATATTACTTGTATGATTAACCATAAAGAATAAACCATAGTGCTAATTATGACTAGAAAAGGTCCATTGAAGAAGTTGCCATGACTATTATTTTTGCTTGTATTATTATGTTGTGAATATTTCCAATGAATTCCCAATTTTCCAATCACAACTTTTCCATGATATAATGATAACAACATAGCTCCACCAATGCACATTATTGTCCCGATCATTTTGGCTTGTCCTGCTTTAGTTTTTAGTCCTAGTTTTTCAAGCCTACATATATGTAAAAATAAAAGTTTCAAATTAGATATGTTCTTTTGTTGTTGAGAAATTTACATATTTACTCAAAAAGGACTATAAGATAATGAATTTAAGTCATATATATTATTTATCATATTGATAGTATTAATGTAACTTGACATGTTATATCTGAAAAAAATAAATTTTAAGCTTAACTCAACTCAAAATAATAATTTATGTGACGATAATTGTTAAAGATCATAAAAAGATTCAAGTGTCCATCACACATACGATGTAGGACTACTAGAACCTTTCACAAGTCCTGACTTGTCAACTGGAGTGTAAATAACTTAATATGAAAAACAACATCAGGTAAATCAAAAATTCAAATAGGCTAATTGGGATACCTTGTTAACAAAATAAATTCTTTTTTTTGCACATATATACCTACTTTAATTTAGACATACACAACGTTTGAAGTTAAGTTTGACAAAATCAAACTCGAAAGAAAATATTTGAAGTTACATAAAAGTAAGATTCATGCAATCTGCCTAAAGTTCAGACGAAAATAACTAAATGGTTGAAGTTCAGGCTATATGAAACTTTGTCTAGACTAAATTCAGACATTGATCATAAATCTGAAGTTGTCTTAAACTAATTACAACTTACACTTGTAAAAAATAATAATCTAAAAGGCGAACACAAATTATGTAATGGTGTCAAAATTGGATACCCATGCATTTCGCCCCATATTACGACAATAAATCTTGAATCTAACTCAAATCCAAAATTTAATCCATAATATAAGGATACCCTAATACCTAATAAACCATCTATTACTCTACTTTTAATTAGTACACTTTAAGTGATCTAATTGTGTCAATTATTTTATAATTTCACTACATAAATCATAAAGTAAAAAATATTACCTGCAAATGAGGGCAAGAAGAAATGTATTTGCTGGAATTAAATTAGCCATAGCTGTTGTAATAGTTGCTGTTGAATTTTTTAATCCTATAATACAAGTCATTTGCATTGCTGTTACCCTGCAGTTATCACACCAAAAAATCATATCAATTATAATTTAATTAATTAATTATCATTTAAGTAATTTGATTTAACAAATATTAATTAATCATGTGAGAAGGACAATTAATTTTGGAAATTAAAGTGATTGCTTACCCCAAAACAGAACATAAGAAAATTAGGAAAAGTGTAAATGGTGTCAACTTAGGCCTTGTTTCCCTGTGTGGTGGGACACAATCATTAGTTAGCAATAATATAATAATCGTATTATTCGTATATATGTTCAATGTAATTCTACGAGTATGATCTGAAAAAAATAAAAAATATGCATAAATAGGATTGTTTTCAAAAGATGGTTGACTCGAGTGTGGTAAATTAAAATAGTCATGAAAAAGGTAACACAATAATAGAGAAAATAGTCAATTAATACGGAAAGCAGTACACGACATTCAGAAAAAGAACAATAATAATAACGAAATAGTACATAAACACAAAAGATAATAGATGATAACATATATCAATCAAAAACAAGAAACTACATGTATAAGACTAATACTACAACAACTATGAAGCTTTCAGGCTCACACCATACCTAATCTGTTACGAATCTATCCAAGAAGGAGGGCCCAATTGATCGTGATTTACTGTCAAATTACACTTGAGACCCCGGTTAAAGGAATGTGCATGTGCACTAAAGATATCTATATAAAGAGGATAAACTATCTCATTAGGGTTATGTTATGAATTATGTTTTTTTTTTTTTAATTAGCTATATTGTAATAGCAGTCTGAAATCTCCTTTTTTTATTTTCCTTTTATTCTTTCATCAGCTAGTATTTTTTTTATGATCAATACAAACCTTAGTTCGTTACCTAATCATGCTGAAAGCAAGCCATAATTCAACTATATACTAATATTCTATTCTAATCTATGATTTCCATTCACTCATGAATTAAAAATGAATTATTTTATTATGAACCAAAGAAATGGAAGGAAGAGTTATGATTAAAGGATATAAACATCTAATATTTGGTGTTTGGTGTGATGGAGAATAATGTTTTCGAAAATGTCATTTCGTATTTGAATGCGAAATTATTTTATGGCGAAATATTTATTAAAACTTAATAATTAACAATATGATAAGAACTTATAGAATATTTTAATGAGATATTAATCTTAAAGAAATATATCGATTAAGATATGATAAGCATTATTTATAATAACATTTCACTATATATATTAATAACATATGTTTTTTTGTTTTGGAGAATTGATAACTTAAAAAGATTTTATTATAGCAATTAAAATATCCAAATGAGACAAACGATGTAATTATATATAAAGATTAAAATATATTGTATTGTACGATCCATGCATGTGATTGTGTGCATTGCCTGGCTGTATTAATGGGCCTCTAGTTTGACTATATTTTCTTTCTCAAAGGGAAATGAATGTGATTAACTACAAGGGTACGATTAAATTATTTAAAATAATAATATAATATAATAATAAGTAGAAAAAAATCAGTAAAAAAGTATGTCATTTTTTTCAATTTTTTTTTAAGAGGTAACAAGGTAAGAATCGAAGTCTCACAAACAAGATAAAAATTCAAGTAATTAATTAACTGAGCTACTAAAATATTCAAATAATTAATTAACTAAGCTACTAAGATTTTTTAAAAAAAAGTGGTATATTTCTTGCGTGAAGAACGTATGAAGCAATAAAGATAAAATGTGAAACAATACTATGAATTATTGAGTAATTAATTGAGATATGTGACTAAAAATATAATTTATCAGCATATTTAAAAATAAAAAATTGAGAATGAATGGAATAAATATTATTTTGTACATAACTACTAAAGAATATGAAGCAACGGATCAAGTTGTTCTTTTCTTAATCAGAAATCATAATTTTGAGTTCTGAATATAAAAAAATCTTAATACGGAGCATTTTTTTTTACTGAATCAGTGCAAATTCGAATTAGTTGAACTCTAACCAATTGAAAAAATTGCATATAGAGTTTGAATAAGAAATTACCTTTCAAAAAAGTAAGCAAAAGGTGCAATAGAAATGGTGGCCAAAATTTGTCTATAGGATAAGTGAACATAAGGATCCATGCCTTCATCCATTACAAGCTTTGATATAATAGCTGTGCCTGCATAACCTAATTGAACTACCACCATTAACAACAATGGCAATACATCTTCACCCATTTTTTCCAATTAAAAATATTATTTATGTATATAAATTCTCTATATACACCAATTAGCTTTATGAGAGGTTCTTTTTTTTTTTTGGGTATTTGGGGGGTGGGAGGGTGGAGTGGAGAGTGGGGGTGATTGTTAGAAGGATGGAAGGTTTTATAGATGACAAGTAGTTAGCTACTGCTTTCCTCTATTTCAATTTATGTGATTCATTTCAAATTTTGAGATTAAAATAAGTCTATTTTTTATTGTAAAATTTTCATATATTTTTTTAAATATTTTGAATTGTAAATTATTATGACTTATAGTACTTTTTACGTAGTTTACAAATATATATAAATTTCATTTTGAAAATTTTGAATATTCCATGAGCAAATTCTCGGTCAAACTTAAATTGTTTGACTTTCGAAAAACGAAATGTGTCACATAAATTGAAATAGAGGGGTACAAATTTTGAGCCGCAGTTAATATTTGGTCAATCTTTTAAAAACGGTTTTAAGTATATATTTTTTCAATAAACGTACTTTTGTGCATAAACTATTTTTTTAGCTTTTGAAAAACAACATCTAATTACTCTTTAGAAACCACTTATTTTTTCTTAAAAACTTAGTCATACACTTACTTTTATAAAATAAGCACGTTTGACCTTCTAAAAATTTGATCAAACAAATTATTAGTACCCGCGTCTGATTCTGATGATCAATTCAATAGTTTATGTTTCAATTTAGTATTTATATTAAAGTATATATGAATTTGAAGATAAATTCAAAATTCATAAACTTTAAATTATACGACAACAAAAGAATATTCACGTGTGAACATTTAAAAAAAAAATCCAATGTCTTTTAATTGAATATTTTCTAAAAAACATTTGCTAACTAGCTATGAGACAAGATTATAGTAGTGGGCTATAATCCAATTTTTTCTATTATATATATTCTCAGACTTTACCATCGGGCTGTCATTAATAATTTGAGACATTTTTGTTTATTCAAACCAAAGAACAAATACATGGGAAAGTTTCCTAAATTTAAACATAGGAAAATGTTATATTTGCCATTGGACTTAAAGAGTCATATTTGTCCAACATATATCATATTTTTTTTGATATGTTTGCTCCTAACATTCAACTTTAAGCACATCTTTGCCTTGGACTGTTAAGTCTCATCTCCCCACTTTTATCATCTTACGTGGCAAGCATAATCACTCAATATTCTCTTGCCACGTAGGCATCATATAGGCGTCGTCACATATGATGATAAAAGTGGAGAGATGAGACTTAACTATTCAATAGAAAATATATGTCTAAAGTTGGATGTTAGAGACAAATATGTCAAAAAAGTATGATGAAGGGTAAATATGACCCTTTTCTTAAAGTACAAGAGCAAATATGACCCTTTTCCATTTAAACATATATATTGAATCACCAACAGATGTGGCGGAGCAGTGGATGAGATTGCTCCTTTCTTAACTAAAAATTCCGCGTTTGAACTGCGAGTATGGAAAAAACCTTGATAGGAAGTGATACCCCCAAATGGGGCCCTATCCGGCGCAATATTGAAATATTTAGACTCCAATATATAAATATTGAATATCGGATGAGAAATTAAAAGGAAAGAAACATACATATTGCGGAACTTTGTTAGTACTATGGGTTTTTAATTCCGTAAATGTTTTGCAAAAAAAAATTGTCTGAAAGTCATATCACCAAAATATTTATGAGCTAACACACACGTGAATAACTGGAAAAAAAATCGTCTAATTTCTATAAAATGGCTCCTAAATGCCGAAATATGTGCAAAAAATGGAGAGGTTTCACGTACTGCACCCCCAACTCCCTATAGAGGGTTCCGTAAAGGTTTTGCAAAAAAATAATCTGGAAGCCGTATCATCAAAATATTCATGGGATAACACACACGAAAAATTGAGAAAATCGAATAATTCCTGTAAAATGGCTCCAAAATGCCCTAAAATCATTCTGAAATTGATGAAACTATATGTACTGCTCCCCCAACTTCCTACGGAGGGTTCCATAAATATTTTGCAAAAAAAAAATCGTTTGGAAGTTATGACACCAAAATTTTCATGGGCTAATACACACGATAAACTAAGAAAATCACCTAATTCATCTCCTAAATGTCCAAAATATGTGCAAAAAATGGTGAGGCTTCACGTACTGCTCCGGCAACTCCCTACAGACAGTTTCACAAATATTTTACAAAATAATTGTTCGAAATTCATATCACCAAAATATTCATGGGTTAACATACACAAAAAACTGAAAAAACCACCTAATTCTTGTAAAATGATTCTTAAATGCCCAAACTATATGCAAAAAATAGTGAAACTTCCCATACTGCTCCCCGAACTTCCCCACCATCTGAATATTTTAACATTTGTTATATGAACTTTTTCACATAAATTGAGACGAAAAAAAATATAAAATTAAATATCTTTTTTGGTGGATAGCTTTGGTAATCAGAATTGCAGAGGAGAAAACGCCACAATCTCAGGGCCAAGAGATTGCTTCTAATTATTTTAATTAAGTATATATTATGAAGATATAACGTAATAATTATGATAGAAACAACAGGCTTATATGTAGATTCATTCCTTAATTACCACTTTAAAAAAATTAAAAAGGAAAAAAAATATAAGTATCCATTTGAGTTAAACTCAAATTTCAGAAATACACTTTATCTTTACCTTATTATTTATCCTAATTAATTTTTTTAAAATTTAATAAATATCATCCTAAGAGCCACGTCAATAATTAGGATGATAATTAAGGAGTAGGAAAAACCAATACTATATTTGGATAATTATATTCTCCCATCTGAAGTTGTAAGCATGATTAATAATAACGTGCAATGGAGAATAATTACTAAGTAATTTATTAGGTCAGCTTAATATTAACCAAAAGATAAATAAATCATTAAACATTAATTATTCTTGCGTCAACCATAATTTTTAATTAGTTCTTCTCATTGAAGCCGTTGCTAAAATAGCCCCAGGTAGTTGTGGCCACACTCTTTTTAGTCCGTCTAAAAAATAAGAGAATTATTCTATCAAATTAGTCACTCAATATTTGTAGTATTTATTCGATCAGGCTTTAGAATAAAAGTCATTAAGAATGATTTTGATTTAGACTATGGCATATTTAAAAATAAACATGTTCTCGAAGACTTTTAACGAACATGATCAAGTCTATTTTTCAAGTCATAGACTAATAAAGTATTTTTTAATTTTATTTTTATTTGTCCAGTATTGATTTAATAATTTCTTAAAAAATAGTGAAAAAATGATAATTTTACTATATAATTATTAGAATTATAATAAATTTAATATTTTACAAAATACATTGAAAAATGAATGTGGTTAAGAAAAAGGTTAAATTAGAAACTAATTAATAAATTATTTTTCAATTTTTTAAACTGAACAATTAGAATTTAGAAATGAATATATAATTTTAATTTAATAGACAAATAAAACTAACGGGAAGATCAAATAAATAAAATTAGCTGGCACAGCAGCATTAAAGTCGGTCAGCACGCATTACAATAACACCTACATTTTCATACACATGCCCATTTAATGTCTACATTATGTTTCCGGCAATTCAAATTCGAGACCTTTTCGATTTGATGTTGAGTATTACATTGCTCATTTGTGAGACAAATTTTTAGGGGCGATATTTCTAATAATAAGTATTTTGTTCTCATAAATTCAAATTTAAGATCTTTAATTAAGAGTCGAAAGATTTCAATCATCCCACTGCCACTCATATTTATACTGGTTAAAACAAACATTATTAATTTCATCTAGCTGTCATCATTTAATTCCCCATCTTCTTCTTTTTTCACCATCACTTTAAATCTTAATGAATTTCCCATCATTTGTCATGTTGTGTTATTTTTGGACCAATAATGAAACTCCCAAAAAAACCTCTAAAATGTTGCCATTTCTTCAAACATGAAGAAAAAAAACTTGTTTCTTCCATTTTAACTTCACAATCCATACATTTTTCTCAAACAAGGCAATATTCAACTACATCAACAATATCTGATCCATCATCAACACCCACGGTTAATACGAATTTATTGTTATTTATGAACCATTCACCTGTGAAAAATGCGTTGTGGGAGGCACGATCGAGTATTTTCTGGAATTATTCATCTATTGTTCCATTGGCATTGTCAATTGATGATCATTTGATCGTTAAAACTCCGTCTAGGAGCAGGACTACCGTTGTGTATAGATTTTCTTCGGATTTTGAACTTCGGGAGAGGTATAGGAACCCGACAAATGAGATTCGAATTGAAAAGTTGTTAGAAGACTTGGATGCACTCGCTGGAACCATTTCCTATAAGGTATTTTTTCCATTTTATTTTATTTGTTTTAGTTTGACTGAACGCGAAATTTCAAAAAAGAGAAAGTTCATAGTAGAGGACTTTTTTGCTAGTCCTTTGTTGACTAGGCATGGCCCTATAGAAGTTATTTACTAAAATACCCTTGTTAATGATTGTTAAGGTTGTAACTTTAATAAATTTGGGCAATGTGGATACTTATTAAGGTTAATGTTGGATGAAAATAATTTGGGCTAGCTAAGCTTAAGTGTGTTACTTTACTATTGCCAACTAGATCAAGTGATTGCTTTGTTATTAGATTCTGATCTCAACAGATATTTCTTAGGTTCTCGATATAAATATAGAATTTATGTAAAAATTACTGAATTCTTGAGAACAAGCATTCTATACCCTAATGCATTACTCATATTGTTTCTCTTGACAAACAGCATTGTTCTTGTGATGATGGCAAAGCAAGGTCATTAATATTGGTGACTGCATCTGTGGATAATATGATTTTGAAAAAACCAATTTGTATTGACAATGATATCACTATAGAGGGGGCTGTTACATGGGTTGGATGTTCATCTTTGGAGATTCAATTAGAGGTCAAGCAATCTACACCAGGTATTTTTATAATCTTTTTTAAAAAATATATTTACGTTTGGTATTATAGATAAATATACTACCATTTGATTTGACTTCAGCTTGCATCTATGCCCTCTAATTA